AGGAACAATAAAATACACCTATGGCTTTTGATTGTTGATGTAACATATTATTTTAAAGGTCCAAGATTTAGGTGAAAGGGAACTATTGGCAGAAATCTAAAGTAAAATAATCCTCATGATGTTTTCACTAGTTCATTTCATCTAAATTGTATGAATTGTAGTTTTCTTTACCCCAGAAAAGACCCTTTATATTTAAATACTTTATATTTACATGGAGGGGACCCTCTCTACAGAGGCTGCCATGTTTTTTACATTAGTCCAGACTAAACAAACTAAACACCTTTTGAGTTTTTATGACAACTGAAGCTACCACAGGTTCTTTTTCATGTTTGGAAGGAGAGGGTGAGGTGAGGGGTGTTCAGCTGCAACATGCAATTTCAACACTAGATATCACATAATTCTACACACTGCACCTTTAAATACAGATGGCAGGATTCAACATACTTTAACCTGACATTTTCTTGCACTCTCTTCAGAGAATCACTGCAACAAGGCTTTTTTTTAGCTTTAACTGAGACCTCTAAGCAAACTGCTCCTGTTCTCTCAGGTTGGATCGGTCCTTTCTACCAACCGCAACTTTCAGCTCTTTCCGTAGATATTCAGTTAGATTAAGAGCTCATGCAGGCCACTTCAGAATTCTCCAGTGTGACTTATGTTTTACATTCTCAAATCTGGCCTCTATCTGAGTGACATATGATCTGACTGGACATTAATGAACCTTGATATCTGAGGTCTCTTTCAAAGTTCGCCTTGCTTCCTTTTTCCACCAATCAGAGTGTCCTATTCAAACCGTGTCAGTTATCCTCTTGTGACCATGTATTGGGAGGTTGGCTAAAGTCCAATGGACCTTACACTTGTTAATTGAGCACTGTGTTAGTTCAGCTGATCCCTCCTATGCATTCAATTGGCAACGCTCTGTTTGAGCTGCTCTACCAGGACGACTCTTCCCGCTTTCGCTGCAAGCCACTTCGTAACCCACCTCCTCCCCAGCACCTCCTTTTCAAACTGAATCTGACCTAATCACTGCCATGTGTTGTCATTGATGCTTGCTCTGTTCTGTGCCAGAGTTTTTTAGCTGCTGCTCCCTCTGCCTCACTTTCCAGGAAGGCTTATGGAAGGGTGGAGAGATGTGCTCTCCCTACCGCAGGCCTTCCACATATACATTTGGAAGGGGAGTGAGGCCCAGAGCAGAGCCATGCCACTAAATATAACAAACTGCAATCAAATTCTTTCGATACTTTCAAAATAGATTTTGAAAAAAGGGATCCCGACTGAAGTAATGTCGACAACTTTGGTCACAGGCATGTGAAACTGCTGGAGTTGGTCTTGTAGCCTTTATGTTAAACATGCTCGGGAATTATTTTCTTCCTGATCTTCTCAGACTTCAGATCTTCTCTCTGTTCAAATAGGCTCAATGACTCATTCTAATACATACCAATAATTCAAAGATCTTTTCATAATAAGCCTGAAATCAGCTCTTTTCACAGCCTATTTGTTTTATTCTATGACAAACCAAAGGCCTGCAGGTATGTGTGACAAAGAGTTTTTCATTTCAACACTGTCCAGGAGGACAGAGCATAGTTTCCATGTGGTGTAACTTGGGCACCAACACTTCCAGCTATGTCTGTTTGAGTGATCCATGTGTCAGACTGCAGTGAGTGGCTCTCCTACCCAGCAGGGTGAGGTTGGTCTCCAGTCTCTGAGCTGACTCCAGCAGCAGCTCCTCTCTGTTCTCTATGCTGCTTTCTGCCACCAGCTGCCTCTTCAGCCACACCTCATACTCCTCTTCCTCCAGAACCTGCTCCAGACACAAGAACACACTCAGCAACACGCCTTCTTACAGTGGTGAGGTTACGCGAATGGATTCATTACTTGAACCGACATGAAGATATGAGTGGGGAACAGCTCACAAGTGTCTGTTCATGCAGCTTCCTGTAATCCATCACATAAACCTGCAGCTAATCACAAATGAAACAAAACAAACAATAATGGTAAATTGACTGAATTTGTATGGCAGTCTTATCCACCACTCAAAGCACTTTACAGTACGAGTCACATCCACACAGCTCTTTCTCTATCACACACCAGTCATACACAGAAGGGAGGAGCAAGGGATCAAACTTCTGACCCTCTGGTTAGTGGACAATCCTCTATACCACCAGAGCCACAGGATAATAATGATGATAATAATAATTATAATAATAATACTCTATTTCTGTAGCATTTTTCTTGAGAAAGCTAAAAACTGCCTCACATTAAAGGATACAAACAACAGCAAAGCAATTACATAAAATGTAATATATTTAAATATAAATTAGCTGTGATTGGACAGTTGACTGTGTTTATCTTGGCATGGATAGTTTGTTTCCTTCTCGAAAAGGACAAGCGGTTGAATTACTGTCCTTTTAACACGTTTCTCTTATTATGACAGTGAATTCATACATAAAAAGTAAAATCATGTGTATTTTACTTCATCTTATTGCTGTTTTAGATCTTCCATTCAAACTAAGTAAACATTTTATTGACACTCTGGCTGTGATTAGTTGTGTAGTCTGAGAAAAATGTCTTGTGGGATAACTAGCAAATAGTTTCAGAGTTAAATCCAAACCCACTCACTGTAATAATGCACAGTGTAGTTACAGAAAACCACACAGTGACATGCTAATTATTGAATGATGTTTTATATGACAGACACAATAATATATAACATATTTATGTACAAACGTATACTATTTTACATTCCCTTCACATAAATAATTAGCCAATGAATGAATCTGAGTTACCTTTTTAGCGATGCAGAGTGTGCGGAGGCCTTCTCTGGCGTAGCCGTCTAAATGTTTCTGGGTTTGATCTCTGATGTGACTGTAGATCTCCTGAGCTTGCTCTGCTCCTGAACATATAAGTGAAAGTGATACAGACAAAATATCATTATCAGTATCAATATTATTAGTGTTTGTCATCAGTCAGCAGACAACATTCTTCGTTCCGGCCTGCAGATTTGTATTCCTCGCGTGAATTTACCTTTAGGAGTCTCAGCCAGGTCCATGATAACAGAGTCGGCTCCCTTGGTGTAAACTACCACTTGTCCCGTGAGTGGGTGGCGGACCACCACGGACATCCTCTTCCTGTTGGAGTCGAAGGGCAGAATGTGAAGCAGCTGCACAGCCAGTGAGCCGATTCCTGGCAGATCCACCAGCAGGCTTTCTGCAGAGCGTCCCCTGAGGGTGCAGCGGTACGCCCGCGCTGCGTGGACCAGAGCCGCCTCGTCTGGACTCTCCGCCTCATACAGGAGCTCGTCATCAACGTCACTATCAGAGTCCACTTCCTGTCTGGGCCGGTTTGTTTTTGCATCCTTGATATCATCCTCCTTGATCTCATCCTCCATCTGTGCAGCATTTCCTCCCACCCCTGGTGCAGATAGGTCCAGTCCACACCTCAGTTCGGGGCTTTCCATGTTTCCGTCTTTCCCTGGTTCTGAGCTGTCTGTAGCGTTGTTGGCTGTTGGGGAGAAGGAGCCAGTCTTCCCCCGGGTGAACAGCCTTCTGGTGAAGTTGCGAGGGCTACCTCTGATCTGGGGAGGGGAGAACGTGGACAGTGCAGCGAATGGAGAGAAGCTGAAGCGCTGGAACAACAGCTTGATTTCCTCCAGAGACTTTAGAGGTGTTCGTGCATCAGGCACCTACAGGGAAGAAGATAAAAAACCCAAATCAAATCAAAAGATTTTGTGAAAGATTTAGGAGAAAGGATCTATCGGCAGAAATTAAATATGAACTAATCCTAGTGATTTTTTCACTAGTGTGTGTTCATCTAAATTGTACAAATTGTTGTTTTCTTTACCCTAGAATGAACCCTTTATATTTAAATACTTTATATTCACCGTACATCGGGAGGCACCTCTCTACGGAGGCCGCCATGTTTTTTACTGTAGTCCAAACTGGACAAACTAAAGTCCACAGGTTCTCTTTCATGTTTGGAAGGGGAGGGTGAGTTGAGGGGTATTCAGCTGCAACATGAAACTGTACCACTAGATGTCACTAAATCTTACGCACTGAACCTTTAAGGATGTAATGGTAACAGCTTTTAATGGAATGATAATTTCAGGTAACAGCGACACCACGTCACATTATACCAGAACTTTCACAGCTTCGTACAGTTACATTAGCCTTCATTACGTTAAACATGAGCTACATGTGAAGCTTTCAGTAAACAAATAAAGGCGCTGATTTGTTCTACAAAGTGAAAATATAAAACTCTGGGATCATGTGCTCACCACATGTCGAGGCTGACTGGGGGAGGAGACCACCACACTGTTGCAGATGGTCAGCGCCAGGAAGAAGTCAGTGATGTAGGCGAGCTCCAGGCTGGAGGGAGTCCCGGGGGAGGCCTCGTTCAGGGGAGAGCAGAACCAGTTCAACTTCCTCACCAGCTCAGGGTCTGGCACCACCTCCTTCGCCTGAACAGACAAGGACGGGAGCAGCGAGAGATTCATTTTCATTGCTAGAGCATGAGAATAAAAAAGAAAAGAAAAGAAAAACTAAACTAAATGCTCACTATGTATGGTATTATGACCTTAGTTTGGGGGCAAGTGATAAATCTAATTGTTGAGTGTTTGATGCTCCAGTGATTCAGTTCTATACCTCTGTTTAAATGTATGATTAGATTGAAATGATCAAACCAGTGTTTGTGTTTCAGCCCATTTACAACGAACATAAACACATCAAGCCCAGGAGCATAGTGTATTTATAGATTACTTGTCCAGGCACATTAGCATACAGTTAAGAAATCAAGAGAAATTGATAATGACTTGATAAATTAAACACTAGAGTCAAAGTTTCATGTGGTTTGTGTCTTGTTTATATTTTTAAGGTGACTTTAACCTGTTTTTAACATATAATATAAGATAAGCATTAGACAACTGATAAATATTACCATTCCAGGTTATTATTTGAAAATTTGAAAATCAGCCTGAAGCAACATTAGGCTCGGATCTGGATGTATAGAGTTCAGGCTGGAAGCATTTTTGTTCTTCAGGCTCTGACCTTTAGCACATTGAGTTCAAATAAAAGTATGGACGTTACATAAAAGTGCCAAGTCTCAGCTTTAAAGGTGCAGTGTGTAGAATTTTGTGATATCTAGTGTTGAAGTTGCATGTTGCAGCTGAACACCCCTCACCTCACCCTCTCCTTCCCAACATGAAAAAGAACCTGTGGTGGCCTCTGTAGAGAGGGTCCCCTCAATGTAAATATAAAGTATTTAAATATAAAGGGCTTTTTCTGGGGTAAAGAAAACTACAATTCATAAATGTTTGAGAGCTTTAGCCGTATAAACATACAATAGCCACAGGTGAGGGCTTCAAAGGTAATTGGACAGATATATTCAGTCTAACAAAAGATTCTCTGCAGCCAATGTGAAGTCTTTGAATCTACAGACAGCAGACACTGAACACTAGGGACCTGGACATTAAACTGACACGTTTCAGGCTTGGTGCTGCTCATAACATCCCCCTCCCCATCAGAGACCTCTACAGTGTAATTAGTGTCTTTTGAAATCTGTCTTCGTTCATCCTGTTACTTCCACCATCAATAATTACCTGTTTGAACGCTCCATAGGCAGTCACACATGTCCCAGTCACAACACAACCTTGTTTGAGAGATGACCTTTCCACCATATTGACAGAGGTTGAGGTTTGTTGTGTGTCACAACAGTCACGGCTGCACCGCAACATAAAACCTCACTCGACTCTGAGCCACTACACACATTTAGTGACAAAGGAAGTGTGTTAAAAGGGCTGGACCTCAAATACACATTCTAACTTACTCGAGGAGGTAATGTTTACATCTGCGTCTGTTTGTTTGTCTATTAGATAGCAGGAATACACAAATTAAATGTGGGAATAGATTTTCAGAGAAATCAACCAAGATGATCTTAATCAGACATGTTTAGGGGACTGATATTTATGAGAGTGTGCAGTTTGATGCAGATCAAAATAAAAATATGAATCTAGTTCATTTAAATGTGGTTTCATAACGAGACTGTTGGGCCTTGGTGGACGTATGTACTCTCTGAGTGCCATTCTTGTTCCCCCTAAGGAGAAGAATGTGTGACCAAATACTGAGACAGACAGAGAGAGAGAGAGAGAGGGATGGACAGAAGGACAGACGGATGTGTGTGTGTCTGACCATGCGGCTGCAGAAGGCACTGGTTCTGGCCTGGATCTGATTGGCCAGCTGTTCTTCCTCCTCCTCCGACTCAGCAGTGAGCGTATGCAGAGACACAGAGCTGCGGTTGCAGCTGAGGGAGCGACAGCTGAGAGATTTACCACTGCAGCCCGACCTCAGAGTCACAGAGCGACCCGCTGCCTTGTCCTTCTCCGCCTCGTACACCTCCAGTCTCCGAGCTGACACACACACACACACACACACACATGCACATGCACATGCACACACACACATGCACATGAACACAGACACAGAGCGACAGAAACATTAAACATTTCCAACATAAGCAGGACAGAAATATGGGGTGCCACTACGATAGTTTCAGTGATACAGTGAATGTAATTCATAGATTATTCATGTGATTCATATTATATTCAACCATTGTACTAGTGCAACAGTGTTCATTTACCTAATAATAATCTCAATGGACAATCATTTGGCTCCAAAACTAAAAAAATGTTACATTTGATTAAAAAACAATTGTGTTTGTAAAATTAATGCTATTGTTGCACGTTTGCACATTTACTTTTATCTTTCACATCATATCTACAGGCCCTGGTCATTCATTCGAAGCATTATGATAATCTACTCACCAGAGTAACTGATAGGGTCATCATGGCTACATTGCTGGACACAGTACCAAAAACCGGACTGGTCAGTCTGGTACTAACCTGTCTGATCCTGTTTCTTGACCTATTTGCAGCCATTTTGTTCCAAGATCTCAGCTTTAAACAAAGTGACCCATCATCTGCCCAGCATTCATGCCCATCTGAAAATATATGCCAAACTGCACCCCTCTAATGACGTCACAAGTGGGATGATTACTGCTCATGCTTGAGCAGATGTTTTGTCCACAACCTCATACTATCAGGTCTCCGCCTTGGTCTTTCTTTACACACTGCAATGAGACTGGAGCTTCGAGGGCTGCAGTGTACTCAAAGGATCTGGAGTTACACTTTGTACTTCATTCTATTTCAGATAGGCGTCTCCCTAGAAGGTTATCTCCAGCATGACCCACTGGGTGCGACCCGGAAGAAAAGTTTATGAACCCCTGAGCTAATGACATTTATGTAAATGGAGGGTTGCTGTGGGTACTCTCCCTACAAGTGGAAAAAAGAAGCCAAGAGTAGCAGCTAAAGGCTTTAAAAGAATCACTGTTTGTGATGACAAACCATGGTGCACGGTGACAGGATATTATAATATACGAAGAGGAATCAATGTCATGGATAACAATAACAACAGGACTCAAACATTTAGAAGAATTACAAATGTTTTTGAGGACATTACTGAGGCTCAGAATGTTCCGTTGCTTACATGCACCACATGGTTGGAATGAATATACAAAATTTCCATTTTTTATTACTAGAACAATGTCCTTGTTTCTAACACGTGTTTTTTATAATCTATACATCTTCTTTACTTCACTGCAGCCCATGTTTACCAGGCCCATCCTGACAGAAGAGATATTGTGTCTGAGTGGCACCTTCCCAGTTAGACAGAGGATAAATGAATACATTCATATGATTCTTATATTTCTGGAACATTGACACAATCTTCTTTGACTGGAAAATGTGACTCCTGAAAATGAGTTTAAACCAATACAATCTCCATTAATATCACTTTGGATACCATTCCAAAAAGTACCGAAGTAGATCTACATTCAGATTTTCAACCCAAGGCTGCATTACAAAGAGAAGATTTTTTTCTGTAACAGTACTGTGTGTTATGCACGTTAACAAAAGAAGAAAAGAATAATCTTATTTGTGTGTCCAGTACCTGTGTGTGGTATCAAGTATCGTGTTTTACACTAGTATACTAGAATATTTGATGGGATATTGGATTTATTTTTGCCAATATCGATCCATTGAAAGGGTTTGGCCCCTGTTACTTCTGAATAAAAAAACGTTGTTCCTGTTGCACCATCTAATCAGGTGATGAGTCACAACTATTAAAATACACGATATCTCTAACAGAGCTAATAAAAGTGGAAGCATTGTGGCTCTTACCATTTTCCTCATGAGGATATTCGACCCCATAGATACTGCAGCGGCGGAACACCATCTTGTTTTCTGTCAGAGTTCCTGTCTTATCAGAGAACAGGTACTGGATCTGACCCAGGTCCTCAGTGATGTTGAGGGCCCGGCACTGGATCCTGGAGTCCAGCTGCTCGTTGTACAAGTCTAAGTCGTTGTGGATGAAGTAGATCTGGCCCAGTTTCACAATCTCGATGGACACGTACAGAGAAATGGGAATCAGCACCTGTTGGACAGAAAAGGATGCAGGACGCATTCATTGACATGACGAGTACTTCTTAGACTGTAGACTGATCAATGATTGAAGCGTGTGACAGAGGTTCCATGGAAGCACACGTGCTCATGAATACAATACAACTAATGTTTTATGTAACCCAGAGATCAAAAAAGAAACTGGACCATAAATATTGATGATATCTCTGAGTGCAATGAAATGTGACATCACCTGGCAGCACACTAAGTTGACCAATCACTTTGAAATTACTCTGTAATGGAGAATCTGTCATCTCCACCAAGGAGGTTATGTTTATATCTGTTTGTTTGTTAAGGGATCCAGAAAATATCCATGATATTTAGTGGAGGGGTGGGACACAACCCAAAGAAGAATCCATTCACCTGTGGTGTGGATTCGGATCAGGGTGCGGATCCAGGATCGTTTTTCACTTTCTCCAGTATAGCGAAACAGGACATGTTCAACATTTTCACTGATTTCTAAGAAAAGAATTTATGGATCTTACAAATGTTACTAATGTTTATGGGACTGATATTATGGCTGTGGGCATTTTGGTGCAGATCCAAAAGATGGATGTAGTGAATTTAAATGTGGTTTCATAGGGGACGGTTGGGCAGTAGCAGATGTATGGGCTGTTTGTTTCTTTCTCTGTCACCAGTATTACACAAAACCGACTGGATGGATTCCCACCAATCTTTGTAGACGGATGCAGTATGGGTAATGGGCAGATCCAGGAATTTTAGAGAGCTAATATCTGTGAAATCCTGTGGATCCTGTTAACAATCAAAATGTTGTTAATCAAATAAAGGCATTTTAAGTGATGATCTTTAGGTACAGTAACAAATATTCCTCTTAGCTATATCAGAACTTGGCCTACGTTTAATGTGAGCAGTTTGCAGAACATTTCTGTGTACATGTGCAGTTTGGAGATAAAGTGGCCAATCAGCTTGGTAGTTTACCCTGGCTGAGTGCCCCTCTAGTTCGGTTTATCTCACAAGTACTGAGACAGAAGATAGAAATGACTGTCACTGCGAGATGTGGGCGGCTGTGGCTGAGGGGTAGAGCAGTCGTCCTCCAACCATAGATGCACATACAATGTGTGTGTGAATGGCAAAACTGTACTGTAAAGCACTTTGAGTGGTCCTCAATATTAGAACAGCACTATATAAATACAGACCATATATGTTATTATAAATTGCTGTGCTGTGTTTTGGTGCTTGAATATCGTACATTTCATTTAAATATATTTAATTTAAATATATTTAATTTCCTCACTGGTCCTTGAAGTAACATAAGGTAGAAGAGTTTTTAAATACTTTATATCTATGAAATCAGACAGGTTAGTGACATGGAACGTTTGACAACAGTAAAAGCTAAGTAAACGTTGCAATGACTTAATGTAATTGTTTCTTTATATGTTTTGCCTCTGTCATTTTGGGTTATCATACCACTGTTGCTGCCAGTTTAATGAAAAATTCACAAGTTGACTGATTCGTTGAAATAATATTTTATCATAACCTTTGAAACCTTCCATATTTTAATACATGAAACTAAATTCTACAGTGGATGTGTTGATTCGTTTTCAAATATCCTGAAACAGAAAAGGTGTAATGAATCTATAATGTGAATAAAAGTGCAAGAAGAAATGTTTAACATTATACCTGGAGCACAATGATCATAGTCCAGAAGACATAGAATCCAGCCAAGGCAGGGGCCGTGTCCATATTAACCCCAAAAACGGGGTCTTTTAGGTTCTTCAGCCAGAGGCCGTGACCTGAAATGCACCAAGACACCGGAGCAGCTCATCACTCTGAACACAGGAGGTTAAAGCTGGACACGGCTCAGTCTCTGGAACACACTGAGGTGTCATGGTTGCTGTCCACAGCTGTGTTGTGGAGTGAGAGCTGTGTGTTGTCAGTCAGTGTCGGTACACACCTACAGCAGAAGTCAGACACATGACGATGAGCAGGACCACACACCACAGGATGTCCGTGTTCAGACGCTTCTCCAGCTGGCTGCGCTTGTACCTCGGCCCGCTGTTGTTCATCATGGCTTTGGTCTCATGACCTAAGTCGCACAGTGACAGAAACACACGTACTGTACTGTGAGCAAAGCTGACAATTAAAAAGCTTTAGTAGTTTACAGTTTCATTATGTTCATAGTTTTATGCTTTAGTCAACAGATTACATTCTCAGGATGAGGAAGCAGATTATTACCATCGAGGTTGTGTTTCATTGGCGTTAGCTTGTTTTTCTGTTATTTCACATGACACAAAAGCTACAGACTGGATTTCCATGAAACTTGTGGGAAGAATCTATTACATTTCAGTGTCTTTAACAGGACGAGATAGAGCATCAACCTCGGCCGAGTCCAGTAGATATAGAAGTGCTGTGTGAATGGTGTGTGTGAATGTCAACTGTGCTGCAAGGCAAGAATGCAGTCCATCACATTGCATTGATTTAATAGGACTTCATGGTTTTACATATAAAAAACAAACACTATCTTTGAAATATGCGATGACATTGCTCAAACCGAAAACTCAGACTGCAGTGAGCAGCAGAAACCAATGTTGATGTGTTGTGTGTGATGCTGTTCACCTACCGGCATAGACCACAATGCCCACCACCGTCTCAGTGTTGCGGATGGTGCAGCTCCTCAACAGGAGGTTGCTGTTATGGAGGCCCACACGAACCCCACTGGAATGCTCCCTGTGGAAAAACACACACACACACACACACGAACAAGAAGCCAGAGCTCAGACTCTGCTGCACAACATGCCTGCAACCTCTCAGTTCCCATCTTTTTAGAAATGAAGATGCAGCCCTAATGATGAAGCTATAACAAGTTCAATGTGCACATTACACAGGTTGAATAAAATGACTGGATGAGCATTTTACAGCCCTTTAACTTTCTTGTTTTTTTTGGGTCAGAACTCATCTTTTCAACATCAACATTGGGATCTAAAGAAGATTTCAAGAGATATAACAAAAAATCCTCAACTACACACCATAGTAAAATGTAACTGAGTACACGATCAGATGCTGCAGACTGAAGTTGGTCAGCCAATCATCTAACTAAGTGGTATTGACAATACAATGGATGGGTCGGGTTGTAATTGGTGTGGCAGTGTAGGTGAATGTAAATGTGAACGGAAAGAACGGAAATCCACAATTCTTCGGAAATCTGCCGAGACCACTTTATGCAAAGCAGGCTTCACAGTTCAGTTGGTTCATATGACAGATGTTTGTTGTGAGCAGGTCTGTTGCTTAAACGTACAAGGAGATTTTAACTGGTTATGAAAGGGTTACACTAAACTACACAGGTGATTCTTATGTTCATGATATTTGTATTGTGTCATTTGTGAAGATAATGACCTCATCACTATGCATCCTGCAAACTGCTGTGCGTATTTTCATATTAGCCTGCGGAGAGTTTTTTAAACATACACAGTTTTTTCAAGACCATATTCGTATATATATATAAAAGCAGACAGTTTAAAAAGGGTTCACAGATGTGAATGTTCGGTGTGGATGTTGAAAAGAAACGTACATGTAGCCCCTGAACCTGCTGAGGTCATTGTTGGGGTTCTCACACTCGATCCGGCTGTGGAAGCTCTCGGGGGTGAACTCGACTCCCTGGAAAACACACACAATCAACAAATTCAATCAAACCTGCAGATACAATCTCGTGTGGAAAAACAGATACAAATACAACACATTATATATATCAGAGGAAAAAGTAGATGCACAAAACATGGGATGTCTTCTATACCCCATCGTCTTTTTACTGGCTGTTATTTTTTACAGAGATATTTTACAGCAGCCAATAAAGCTGAAGTAAAACATACTGAAGGGGCTGCCAGTTGTCACCTACTGGATGAGTAATGTAATTGTCTCTAACTTAGTCAATACCAGTTTTTATGATTTTGTGGATACAAGCTGTTTAGTTTTATTGGGCAATGAGAGCCCAGCGCCCTCGAATCCTGAGTGCGTACAATGTGTCTATTGAAGATAAGGGCGACCATTTCTTTTTTTCATTGGATTTCTTCTTCAATATGTGCGTAACATACACTGTAGGAGTAGTGTGCCGATTTAACTTTCCTTACTTTCAATAAGGCAGATAGGGAGTCGAATAGTCCTTTAACACACCTGTAATACAGCTGTAACGGCTGTAAATGTAAATGAGGTGTAAAATAACACGACGAACACTAAGCCCGGTGTCAGACATGATCACAGAGATCTAGATCAGAAGGCAAACAAATATCCCATCAGCACTAACAGACTGTGGGAGCAATATAATGTGTTCGTGTCATGTTGTTGAGCAAACAAGTAGGAGCATGACTCGTAGCTATTTGATCAGAAAATGTTTTCCTTCATCAAGGTAGAGGATATAGAGCAGGGTAGTCGATTGTAATTCAGCGGTAGAGAGGATTTCCTCCAGCATATGGACGGAAACTTATTATCTAACAGCCTTATAATTCAGTGCAATATATATGGAAATATTAGACATATCAATGTCTGTCTGTAGTCAACACCTGGCTGTCGAATCTAAAAAGTAAAATACAATAATATTTAAAAAAATGTATACTCTCAGATTTCACATTGAACTGCAGGGATTATAAATACATATTCCTTCGTGGCTACTGATCACATGTGGCCACAACAGGATGTGAAGTCTGTTAGCAGGTCTTTGCGAACACTAATGCACAACTGCCTCATGGACGTACGCTCTGCACAACCACTCAAGGTGCAGTTCCAATCCAAGTCTGTCCCGGTTCTTATATAGACGTATAACACGTCATGAGGGAATTAAATAAGGCCAATTAAAACCCAGTGACCTTTGACTGAATTCTAATCAGTTCATCCTCGAGTCCAAATAAAGGTTTGGGCCAATTTTGAAGAAATGCTGTGAATACTGAGATATCATGTTCACGCAAATGGGTCGGACAGTCAACCTGAACACGGGGCTGTGACTCTTACTGCCGCAGAGGGAGCTGTGTGAATTGCCTCAAGTGATGTTACTTGAATCAGCAAAGGTCAGGACTGAAGACTATTAAAAATATGAAAGGTTGTTAAGGTTAAATTACATATTGAGGTTGCGTTTCACATAAAGCGTCCCAAGTGTACACGAAATAAATATCTTCCCACGATTTTGACTAATTTATGTGCAGACCAGCCTTTCTCCCCAGAGCACTGAGGTCAAGCAGCTGCCCCTGACAGTGGAACGCACCTGTATTCTGACCTTGATAGTAAAAGCGTTGCTGGCGTGCAGGGTTAAAGTTCTGTCATCGTTCCTTCTTTCAATACATCGCAGCATGAAAGTCTCACAGAACAACAAAACCAACGGAGCTGGAGGATACATACACCACCTTCTTCAATGCAACACTGAATCACTGTAAGGCTACATGCATGTTGCACTTAAGCTTTCAATATTTACAGCAGGGTGATTTTGCCGCCCAGGAAAAATTTGAATCCTTCATTTTTAAGGAAAACCATAAGTTAGCAGATGTGGTAGCACAGCATCTGTTTTCAATGTATTTGGTAACTCCTTATTTTGACCTCCATACGCAGTTGTGCTATGCTGGCATGTCTGACACAGTTTGTTGTATGTGGTGTGCCTGGGCTCGAGATTTCATAGCCTCTCTAATTTTCATACTGCAGCACTTGTCTCTGGAAACTGTGAAGAATGACACAACCCTGTATGCCAGCTCATTCTGGAGAAGGCTGGTCTGTTGTAGCTCTCGGTATCTCCTGGGCACTAATCCATCAGACACACAAAGTCATTTAAAGTGCTAAATGGAGTCAAACGTGACCTTGATATATTACTCTTAACCACAATAAGGGCGTTGAGGGATCATGCGCATCATCTCTAGGCTACTGTAGCCTTTTGGAACACATACCAAAAGTCTACAACCCAACTGTGGTTGTTAAGTTGCATTGTGGGTAAAGTTGGCACCAGGTTTTGAGAGGGCAGAAAAACGGGGGTTATAAAAAGATGCTATCTGTGGTTCTGCTGCTGATATTTAATCGTATTGTTTAGTTTTTCCTATGAATCTTAAGGCTTCTGTCTTTCCTACACAAACAAATCCATGGGGCCACTTCAGGATATAAATCAATATTTGTATATATTGCATTGTTGGATCGTAGTTTTTAAATTATTTGTATCATTATGTTTTATCATTAATTTGCACTTTGTTATAAAGTTATGCCCAAACAATTGCATTTGAAGACACATTATACTCTATCTAAAGGTAATGAAGTAAAAAAAAATCTACATATAATGGAAACAAATTAAAAAATGTGCGATTCATTGCAAAGCACACATCTTGAACATATGAAACCACCTCATCTATTACTGTACCTGCAGTGGGAGGTCTGAGACCACCTGTCTCTGTTTCAGGTTGGTCTCTCCGTCCAGGTTGGCGGTTTCAATGTAGCAAACCCCACGGGGGTCAGAGGAATACAGCAGCAGCATGTCCGCAGGGATGATTTCATTACAGGACAGACGCACAAAGTCTCCCACTCGCACATCCTTCCAGCACTCGTCGATGTAGGTTTTCTGGTTGCTAGAAAACAAGGAGAGACAAAGGGATGCAAATCAGTGCGAATGAGAAAAAGAGCACGGAATTGGGAGTTGGAATAGAAACTGTGCTTGACTTGGAACAAAACTATAATGTGTATTGTATGTACTGTACATTCAAACTGAACGCTCCTTATATACAGAATCTATAATATTCTTAAAGGTTCAGAGACAAAACACGCCTTTGGTCAACAGGTATAATTCACACAGTGAGCAAATAAACTGTGGTTAATCATTATTCTCACAGCCTTTCCAGGCAATGACTGAAAAACAGCACATCAGGGGGAATTACTGTAAGTTATATATATATCTATAAAAGAAACCACATCCAAATAAAGCAGAGGAATAATGGTGGTGGTGTTAGAAGGTGCGTTGTGCAAACCAGGCTGTTACGACCGGTGTGATGATAAAAGTAATCTAGAAACAGACTCTATTCATAATGTGCGGCGATAAGAATCAAGCTTTTTCAATAAGTAATGTGCTGAATATAGATCCTCAAAGAGAGAGATGATGCACCGTCTGAGACAATCGAGGGAAAGGAACAGACTTTGAATAAATACGCAGGTATTGAAATTATATTTTTGAGCAAAATATAATAGAGAGTCATTTTCTGTACAACTTCATTTTGTTGTAGGCTATCTAGTTTATGTATTTGTTTTTGAGCTTGAGCTTGTAATTGCAGGGTAATTTGCTGTTTGGGCCTAAGGTTCACAACTTTTCTTCCCAAAATCTACTATACCTGAAACATTTCTGGAGTAAATCCTGACAGTAGGACATTAGTTAAGATATTTTTAACTCCGCCAAGGAGGTCATGTTTTTGCCCCTCTCTGTTGGTTTTCTTTTTGACTTTTTATAACAATGAGAGACATTTTCACCAGTTTCAAAGGGTAGTTCATGGATCTTGATGATCCAAAACATTTAAATCAAGAGCTAGATTTAATAGTACTGTGTGTGTTCTACTGAATCCTTTTCATTCATTCGAATTTCTGCCAACAATACAATTGTGGCAACAATAGCTTCTAAAGAAACGTTAGAACAAGGGAGAAAAAAAAACTATGTCACATCTTTCATGGCACTAAAAAAAAAAAAAAAAAAAGGTCAAGTAGAATATTCCCCGAAGAGTACGGAATTGTGCTGCCTCATCAGACCTACCTGCTGTAAACACGGCAGAGAAGCCTGTTGATCGAATGATCCGATTTAAACCTGCGGTAGTCTTCCCAAACATCCTTGACGGCCGTCACTGACAGCACCAGTATGACCGGGGCCAGAGCGATCTCCGGCTGGAAGGCCTCCACCACAGAGATAAAGTTGAGGGCAGCAAGGAAGATGAAGTAAACATTGGCTAAGCGATGGAATTGCTCGAACAGATTCTTGGGCAGGAAAGACAGGAGAGAATACTTTGTGGTCCGAATCTTGTTGCTTTTATACAGCTTCAGGAGTTTACCCAAGTCCTCATCGTCTGTGCAGGAAGGTACCACTGTCCTCTTTTTCCGGAGGTGCTCCTTGGTAGAGTGACGATGGGACGAACGCTCCCAGCTATGCATGAGTCCTCTAATCCTGATCCGCCCGCTGCTTTATGTCTCCACTTAGAAGCCTTACCTGCCTGCACTTGTATCCTGTTTGTCTTCCGAGTTCATGCTGTCCTTTCTTCTAACTGACCATTGTGATGTGGACTCCTTTCACCCTGTCCAGGCAAAACTGGAAGTGCGAGAGGTGCGTGGATAGTTAACTGCCCGCGGACGGATCTCATCTGCACTCCTCTACAGGGCACGCTGTAAACAAACTCAAGGTACAAGTTTTACAGCCGACTCGAAGACAGATTGTGTAACAGCAAGAGAGGAGCGTCTGAGAGCGGCAGCGGGGAGTGTGCCGTCATTGATTTCCTGTAAGACCATCTCAGTGGACAGACTCGTATACCTCAGTGACTCTGAACAGCAGAGATTCTTCGTGATAATATTGTTTCACTGAGGCAGTGACTTAAACAGACAAACCCTCCAGATCAATTCCTGCACCAACACTAGCAACGTGAACCGGACTTCAGAATAACAGAGCACACAGTGTGACCAAGGACCACAGCCATCCAGCACGCAGACTGAACAGTTTCTATCACCAGGCCATCAGGTTTCCAAACTCAAAGGAAACCTATGTCCAACAACCCCCTGCACGTCTGTTTAACTGCCTTTAGTCTCACCTCTGGAAAATTTGCAATAACTTGTGCATACAGATTGTCACCACATTTGCATCACTGAATGTTACACTGCACCTTTGACTATACATAGTTTTTATCATTGTATTGTCGTTTACTTTTTTATATGAAGCCCTTTCTACCTTGCTTTTATTTTAATTGAATTATTGCACAGCTGACCTGTTTCTACTCGTCGAACACTTTTCACCGTACTGTTGACCCGGCGTTGACTTGCACATGACGAATAAAACTGACAGCCACAGTAAAACACTTCTCTTGAATTAAGCTCCTGTGTGAAGGATCAGCAGGAACGATATTCACAATGAGTGTCCATTACTGTTCTATCCCTGTTCTCATTGATTCCTACTTTCAGCTTGAAAACGCTTGTTTTGCAAGTGTCACTGTGTCACTGAACATTCCATATGCTGAAATGATGGATCCTCCAACAGTCAACATTACTGGCAGAAACACACCCGAGTGCAGCAGCAAACTGTTGTGGTAAGGCACAGGAGGTGGAGGGGGCAAAGGGATATTCCAGCCCCCAGGAGGACAAGCCTAAAAAAAACAACCCTGACTCATGGAAATATAGTATATTCAACAATAAATGTTTTTTGCTAAATGTATTTTGGAGGAAAAAACATTTATTGTGTCACACATAGGATTAGTGTAAAAAATGTGGCCAGTAAATGCTCTACAGATATGGTAAATATTCATATTTTTAACTTGCTGGATCAATTTGTGGAAATAATATGTTATCTTGATAAAAAAATACATAAAAATCCTTTCAAAGCATATTTTTCTATTGCAAATTAGTGAGACATAAACCAATTTCCATGAACGTTTATGGAGGAATGGGGTATGACCCAAGAAGGAACCCATCACTTTTGTGTTGCAGATCAGTGGCACTCACTGATCCAGGATTTTTTTTCCCCCACTTAGTTAAACATTGTGAGAAAGGGAGGTTTTCAACACTTTCACTTATTTCTTCAGAGAATAATTCTGTCCGTCACTCTACAATCAAAAGTCCATAATGACAAAGTGTGAACATATCTTTCTAAAGCAGCTGCTGTCCCCTGTATGAACCAGGCCACTAGAGGTCATCATATCTGAGGTTACTGACCAAGATTTCTACAACATGGTGTGAACGTGGACTCTATTGTGTAGTTACTGTAAATGCTCTGTATCTATTAAACACTTTTCTTGTCTCGATGACACAGGGACAGTTTGGGGTTCAGTACCTTGCCAAACGGCACTTTAACACGCAGAATGGGGAAGACTGGGATCAAACCATAAACCTTATTAGAGGACAACCCACTCTCGTCCTGAGTCACAGCTGCCTGACGCAGTCTCACTTCTTGTTTGAGTCAAGAAACAAGGTAGCTGATGATCTGACAAACTGAAAAAAGGTTAATTAATGATTGCTTAAACTATCGCATCAGTGGAGTGAGTGTGTCAGTGATGTGTACGGATGAGACACCTATGAACAACTCACAGGTGACAACTCGGGCTGAACATCTGCGAAGAAAACTATCAGTTACTTCATACTGAAGAAAGCACCTGGGATGGACTTCACTGGATCCTGGTCTAGAGATGAGATAAGTATTATTTTTATGATTCTAAAAACTGAATATGATCCAGAGATTAATGTTTTATATAAAGTGCCAATGAACCCATCTGAGGTATTTTACCTTTGTGAAAATTGGACAATATGTTAATTTTGAGGAAGAAAATCAGATTTGTTCTCACTTTTGTTTTAATAATTTTGGCTGTTCCTCCTATTGTGACCTCAGATTAAAAACAAAAGTGATTCTGTAAATGTGGATGATTCAGACTGACCTGAGATAATTCTGTTTTATAGTTATAGTATTTGTGTGTGTGTGTGTGTGTGTGTATTCACCCCTGCTTGTCTGTTTGTTTGGTTTGTATGTTGGGCTCTTTTTGAACATGCTAAACTGGAAGGCTTCCTTTGGTAAATTGTCTCGTGATCCCAGAAACGGATCAGCCAACGGAAATAAAAAGCATATGTACGTGTGTTCGACAAATTCCCAGTGTCATTTTAACATGAGCTGATTCATTTCAAATATTATTGATACTGGAGTAGAGAGACAGTTAACATTGTACATTCAAAAATGTTCCCACAAATGTATATTTTTGGGATGATTATAAATGCAACTACACTTAGAGAACACATGGGCCAGCTATTACTGTGGTCACTAAACTGGTAAATCTAAAAGCTTTAATTTAAAGCAACACTAAGCCACTATTTTTTTACCTTCAAATTTTGGCATCAAAATTTGTTTGATGGTTCGCTCACTTGTAAAAGAGAGAGTCCCACTTTGATTCCCAGCCCTCAGCAGGACCGCTGTGTCAGTCAGTCTCACCTTCAACCAGCAAGTTCAACAGAAATGCTGAACTAAAGATCAGTTAATAAGACTGAAGTCATTTAAAACCAATGTTGATCTTCAATATTAGAATTTTAACAGATTTAGCAGCAGCAGCTCTTCTCGTTCAGGGAGCTGAGGATCATGGGGAATATCCACCACTCTGTTGTGTTTCAGTTCTGTTGGGTGGACAGAGCTCAACACATTGATAGACTTTGTTTTTTCTTTACATGAAATCCACTTCATCACTCAGACCCAGCAGAAGGAATCACCACGTTGGGCAGCAGAGGGCGCTGTTGCTCAGTAAAAGTTGCAGTGATACTTGAAACCTTTTCTGAATCACATGAGAAGAAATCAGATTCCACTTTAAATCACATGTAAAACAACACAGCGACAGAACCAGTATGTTTCACTTCATGGTTCTAATTTGATGAGTTTGCTTGCTGTTCTGCAACATGCATCCAGAGCAGTTTTTCAAACCAGTTTACAAATGGTTTCCGTCCACCTGTTTTATGCACATCGTCATTTTGACAACCCGGTTAGAGCCGTGAATGAATTTCATAAACATATCTGTCACTGGCATTGTCCACTTAACCCGAAAAGAGGTCCACTCACCCACAGAATATCCGTGCAACATTGTTGTTGACCTTCTTGTCGAACAAATAGCGCCTGTAGTCCTCCAGTGCATCTTTGATGGCGATGACCGTGAGAACCACCAGCAAAGGAATCATGGTAATTTCCTTCTGAAAGGCCTCAACCACAGGCACCCAGTTCAACAACGCCAAAAAAAGGAAGTAGAGGTTGGCAGCCCTGCAAGGGAAAGACCAGATCAACTAATTTTTATGAAGTAAGTGTGACCACAACACGTCCAAAAAGCAGCTGTAAACAGATTTAAACATCAGTTGTGACCTTTAAAAACACAAAGATTAATATACTGAACCAGTACTTTATATTCAAATGACACAGACTTTTAAGACCAAAACATTAGGACTGAAAAAAATGCAAACATAAATATCTGGACACTGGGTGTGTTCCATCTGAAAGAGATTCAGCCCTGGAGGATGGTAAACGGCCCTGTAAGGTTTGAGTGAAGTGTTGGTTCAGTCAAATGACAGAAATATACAGAGCATACGGTCAACAGAGATTATTCAAAAGTACTTCACATATAATAAGAGGTCTGAAATGTATCTAAAGACATTGTTACACAAAAGAATTGTTATTGTTTAATTTAATGGGGTTTTTTTTCCAATCCAGGAGCTAATCCACCTCCATTGTATTAAGGTGGAAACACAGTTTCAGAGCAAGATCTCCAAAAATAAAATAAACTAGCTGCATGAACAGAAAAGGAAACAATTGAATGGAATCATAATATTATGTCAGCACTATTGTTTTTGTGTTTTACTGATTGAAAGTTATTGTCAACATAAACTGTGACTGAGCCCCCTGCTGCCTTATGTTGAAACTTCATCATCTGACACATGCTACAGTATTTTGTTGTGTGATTGAATGTAATATTCTGCAGTCTGAGATCATCAATCATGCATCACATCAGTCCCAAAGTATTTTCTTCAAAAGTAAATTCAAAACCTAGGATGGTACGCAGTTAACTCAATACCCGAGCCAAGGCCAAACAGTCCCCTTTATCAAAACACATTTAAATTCACTTGATTCAAAATGCACAGAATCACACACTCATAAAAATCAGTCTCCAGAACATGCCAGATTTGTTTCATCCATATGCATCATTCTTAGTGAAATCAAAGATTTTAATGGTAAAAAATCTCCCATGCCCACCCGCCCGATCTGGATTCACACCAAAGGTTCAATGAGCTCTTCTTTGGGTCATGCCCCATCCATTTGCTTAATCCTTCTAAATAACACATGAGTGTTACGAGTGTTTTAACTTTAAACTTTACTTTTAGCTGTTACTACCACACATTCTGAAGAGGTTATTCATTTGATCATAAACTCAGTCTTCTTCAAAATAAGACTAAAATCTTAAAATCAAATGTAGCCTTACATTAATATAATTGCCAATTAGTCCTTATGTTGCTACAGCTTGTCTATTTTTTATATCAAATTGTCTGTACTTTACATAACTGACTATCACATTTAACTGTTACAGTGACTTAATTTTAAGTATTATTGTTGTTAAATATAAGTACTATTCCCATGTTTCTTAAAGTTTGTGGCTGGCTTGTAATTAAAAACTCAAGTCAAATGGAACAGAGCTGTAGCTGGACTGGAAAACCCTGAGTTGACAGAACCAATTGGTAACCAGCTTCATGATACCAGTAATACAAGGTCACCAGTGATCGGCTTCATGATACAGAGAACTGATAATACCTGTGCCAAAAGAACACCATTGGGAAAGTGTGTGGGTGGGTGTGTGTGTGTGTGTGTGTGTGTGTGTGTGTGAGTAACTGAATTACGTTTCCGATGTCACTTTGTACCCCGAGCAGAGCACCGCCAACTCATTCGGACTCTCCCTTACACTGGTGATTCTGGATGGTTTCATGAAGCTGGCTGTCTCTGGGTTTACTGATCCAAATACAAGTGTCTTTATATGAAAGAGGCAGAGCTCTTAAGCACAAGCGACATTATTCCAACCATGAGCAAATTGCTTTCTATATTTGATCAAACACTGTTATCTGTGGGGAAAATTGGAAACAGCAATTTTCTATTCACCGAGGTGGAACATGAACAATATCCACATAGAAAATAAATAATATCCAAATATTTAAACTAAGGCTAAGCATAATACACTGTGGGAATTATTTCATTTGCCAATATTGCTTTTGTCTGTTCATGAACAAACTATTAATAATATGTGATGCACTTCACAGGACAAAGTGAGTCTATTTTGGACAAGAGGTTTGTTAGAAACTCTCATTTAAAACCTGAGAGCAAATGATTCTGATGACCCATAAAAACGCCTCATTACTCTTCATTACTCTACAGTTAGAACTCCTTCCTCAGTCTGACTCAGTGAGGAGGTTACTGCACTAATGATGTCATAGTTTTCCCAGTGATCTGGTAATGAAAATGCAGCATAAGTACCCTTGTGATGTCTTTGTAAAGGAGAGACGGATTCATGATACCAGATACCATGGGATCTTCGAAAGCCTCATTCTGACCGACACTTTGGTAGAAATGGAATGAAAAGCTAACTGTACTCCAGATCTGCTGTCAACATCATGCCTATGACCTCAGGAGGCAGAAAAGAAAAGCGTGTTTAACCTCTTGCCTCAGAGACAAGGTGCAGGTACAAGATTGATTTACTCCTCTAATCGACCATTCAAGTCATCACCACCAGGGACTTCTCTATCAAAGGAACCCAACTGGTCAAAGTTCCACCCAAAAGATAATCATTACAACATTACTGGAAGTCATAAAAGGGACAGTAAGGCTACATTTATACTACCAAGTTTTCATTTGAAAAGCTAAACCAGCTCTGTCCACATTCGGCTGCATATCAGTTTTAATTCCCATCTCTACTAACATGCACATCACGTGACTACATGAGCACTGAACATGTATGCGCCAGTGTAGACAGGAAGCATTTGGTTGTTAGCTGCAGAGTCGTTGCAGATTGCTTGATTAATAGCTTGTCTCCTATGCATGTAAGTAGTTGTAACATTGTAAATTGCAGAATCTAACTGTACAACAGCTGTTAGCAAAAACAGGGTTTGCAATGCTTGTCATTGACTATCCATGTTGCATGCTACGCCACTAGTGGGGGCTAATTCTGGTTGCTTCCTGCTGAAGGGGTCATATAGACCCCTGACAAATCAGCAAAGAGCAAATGACTCAATAAGCAAGAGTGTCTACGTCATCATTTACAAACATCTGAGTTTCTGCCTGTCCAGAATAAAACGCAGCGCCAGAAGTTTTCAAACTAAAGTGTTTCCAAACTTCTCGGTTTAAGTAGCTCTACAGCTCTGCAGTGGACACCAGGTGTATCCATAGCGGAGTGGATGCATCTGTAAAATGAACAACTGCTGCTCTGATGTGTATTAGATTCTTCTGTTTCTCGTAACCCCTTAGGAGCTATTTAAAGCATAATGACAGTTAGTGAGCAAATGAATCTGTAAGATGGAGAGTGACTGTTAAAATCCTAGTCGCTCACAAGGTAAGCAGATAAGACCCTTCCTGGGATAGAGGGTGCGACAGACATGCAGTAGCTGCTATGAAGGGCCAGCTGGGAGTCAAACCAGATGATCAAGACTAGGCGCACCCAACCACTCACCCATTGGGTCACTCCATCCACTTTGCTGACATAAAGTCTTGAGAATAGTTGGAACAAAGATTATCGTTCTCTTTACAACACCATGATGATTAAAAAAAGCAGTTATTCAATTTGATTATGTTTAGCTACTTGTCAAAGTCATGATCTGACCTGTGGAACTGCTGGAAAAGGTTCATGGGGATGAAGGTCAAAAGTCTGTACTTGGTAGTGCGGATGGCATTGCCCTTGTAGTTTTTGGAGATGGTTTCACACTCATGTTGGTGGGGCCCATGGCGCGCAAACACACTTCTTCGCTTCCCACTGACTCTATGTGGAGAGAAATAGGTGTCGAGGAAGCTTTTGTTGGGCAGGCCATCGGGGGAAGAGTACCAGCCTCCCCCTGAGTCTCTAGCTAGCAGCGTCCGACAACGGTGCCGCACCCAGTGGAGCCGCTCCATCTACGCAGCTGGGCTGTGGGAGTGTCTGGGCCCCCTCCTCTGTGGCCTGCTCCTTTCTGCTTCCTGGTGGGATTTCCAAAAGTCCTCTTCCTACAGAGAGGAAGCACAAACAATGCCTCATGGTAATTGGTTGTAATTATCCAGCCTGTCAGCAAGTTTTAAAGATCAGTGAAGTACATGTGAGAAACAACGGTTCAAGGGAACCCAAGAAAATAGAGTTAGGGCACTCATGTTGTGAAGTCATAAGATGTAGAGTTAGATAAATGGAATCTCATTATATCATTATTATTTCAATTCCTTTCCTTTCACTTTTTTCAAGCTGTTCACTCACCATGATATACTGATAGTTTGGATGCAGAATAGACTAACTGACAATGCACCAAGGCCCAGTAGTTGCCTTAAAGTGGCGGCTGAGGGGTAGAGCGGGCCGCCTCGAACCCTGCATGCCGAAGTGTCCTTGGCTGTGTGAATGGGTAAATGGCAAACTGTACTGTAAAGTGCTTTGAGTGGTTATTTAAGACTAGAAACGCACTAAATAAATACAGACCATTTAAATTTGGTCACAAAGCCCTATCTCTCAAACAGTGAAAAATAATCCTGAATCCACTCTCCAAATCCAGATACACACCAAAATGTAATGAGTTCTTCCATGACCCACAACACATTCTTCCACCTTGTTTAGTGGTAATCAGTCCGGTAGTTTTTGCATAATCTTGCTTATAAACAAAACAAACACACCAAGGTAAAAAGCTGCCAAAGAAAGGAAGTGTCTCTTCACAGATCTAATTTTAAGGAGTGGTTCATTGCCTGAGCTCACTATGAATAATATTATATGTAGACATTTACGATTCAGGTAAAGATAAAATAGCTGTCTACTATCTTGTGTGGTCTGGTCTTTCTCAAGTCTGCGGCTCCGCACGAAAGCACACAACACTATCACAGGGATCTGTGACATGCCTTACTTACCAAACATCATTCTCAGCACACAGGTGAGACAATGACTTACAGCGATAAGTAATAACAACTGAAGTTACAGCAGGAGTTGCTGTTTAAGCAAATAATAGAATTTAAAAAAGGATAGTGGAGCTTGGTCGCTGCTGAAGAAGGCTGTTGTTAAACCCACACAGAAAGATATAAATCTCTGCTTTATTTGCATTTCACAAGCACACTGTTTTAAAAGTTGACAGTTGAGGGGTGATCCCACCCCCCCCTTGCTTCCTGAAACAGTTCTGCAGTAACTGTACCACATGTGCTGAACCAGTCTGCAAACTTCAATATTTGATGCTTCTGACCTAAAATCCCACGTCAAAGGCAGGATGTCAATTGTTTTTCCAGTTCGCCCAGAATGCAATCTGACAAACTGTGGAGTGTGTATTTAGGGGAAGTAAACTTTTATAAATCCCAGCCTGCGCAGTGCAACGCATCCACTTCCTAAAAATAACCAATGTTCACCATGACTTTCCAGAAGCGGTTTGAAAATCACTTCAATACAATAGTATCATGAGATATAACATGCACACACATAAATAAAAACATTTCTTATGGTAGTGGCAGTGCTGATACAATGATCATTCTCAGTATTTAGGACGGAAGAGAAGCTGGGTGTTTACAGCACAGACCCAGACGACTGAAACCCATCAGGTCACATGATCTCCACTGCCTTCACTGCATCTATCTGAAGCTGTGTTGTTCTGACTGGAAATAATTACAACTATTTAGACTGTGTCTGACTCAATAAAATGTGGATAGTTAAAACCTTATCCATGTCAGGTTGCTACAAAAAACCCCTGAAGGATCTTCACAATAATGTTTGAGAGCTTTTAAATGATATGATCATAAGCTAAACTGACTGGTTAGACCAGTGAACTGTAATCACAAACAAACTAACAAAGCGACTCACACTAAGTGCATTAAACCATGAGAGCGCAAACCCAGCATGAATCTTGTTCGTACATTAGCATCAAAAAGCCAAACTATAAGTGCTACATGTTTGTTTCTCCAGCATGTTTGTTTCTGAATATGACCTCTGCAGCTCATCCAGAATGCAGCAGCTCGACTGGTCTTTAACCTTCCTAAGTTCACTCACACTGCTCCGCTCCTCCGCTCCCTTCACTGGTTACCAGTGGCTGCCCGCATCCGCTAGTACTTGCGTACCGAGCTGTGAACGGATCGGGTCCAGTCTACATCCAGGACATGGTCAAACCTTCCGCCCCAGCACGTCCGCTCCACTCTGCATCGGCCAATCAGCTTGCTGCTCCCTCACTGTGAGCTAACCACTTAACAAAATCAAGACTGATTGCTGTCCTGGCTCCTAAATGGTGGAGCTCTCCATTGGCATCAAAAAGTCTACACATCTTCTGCCGCAGACTAAAGACACCTCTCTTCTGACTATACACCTTAAGAAGATGATGTCTAATAACCATTGTCAACTCTGGTGTTTATATTTAAACATATATGTATATAAAAAGTTTCAAAAAATGATTAAGTTTAGTGTCCTCCAATTTCTTCTGCTGTATCAGCAATCACTCTGTGACATATCTTCAGGACAAACTTTGGGAGAATTTTAAAATCTGATTCTAGCAGCTCCACAGCAACAACGCTTCTTCACTAATTATCCTTCTGATCAAGCTTTTCATCTTTCTAGCTATTAGATTATTTCTAGCTAACCCTTAAAAAGTGCAACATTCAACATCTACTTGTATTGACAGACACCATGTTTGTGAACAAAGGTCATATTCATGAGGATTTTTGCATCAACCATTAATGGAGTCAACATAAGTTGACTGTAATGTCTAAAGGGAAATTTGCATGGTTTTTACACTTGCACATAACCTCTGGTGTGGATCCTATGAACAGACATTACTCACATCTGAAAATGTGGTTCAAACCTATTGGCATTTATCTGCTGCTATACTGTTTCCAGGCTCCACTCCTCAGATGCTGTATTTTTTAACCATCTCAGAGGATCATTTTAACTGGAAATTCTCTCTGATGTGTTTTTAGTTTTACCATCACTACTATCTTCAATATACCTTGGGAGTGTCTGCAGCGTCCTTAGAGGTGAGGAGATGCCAGAAGATGGTAAAGGCAGAGACATGCAGGCAGATTCCCCGAGAGAAGATAAACACTAACACCCGGCTCATTAAAACATACCCTTTTCCAAAAATAGTATAGTTTTTGTGAAGGACCTTGTGCAGGATTCAACTACTTCATCAAATAGACTAAAGCTGTTGAGAAACGTATGTCGTCACAACTTTACAGTTTTTAACAATATGAAAGATTCAGCTCATCTGTCAAAACTGACCATATCTGTTAATAAATCAAATGCATATTTTTCAGACAAGTTATAGTTATCAATGAAACATGCATTCAAATCACTGCCCTGAGCACAACTGAGGGCCCTTATATAAATATAAATGACCACATCAACACCCAAGTGATTATGACGCAGTCCTCAAACCAGGTTCACACATGCTTCATGGATCCTGAGTGAGCCTGGCCTCAAACTTTCACTTGTGGTAACCATGTTCTCCCTGGATGCTGCCTGTGTGGTCATAACGGATATCTCCGAAGCGATGACTGATGACGCCGGTTCCCAGGCCTAATGCCTAATGCCTAAATTACACTCTGCCCTAACATACTCGCATCCAGCCTGTAGCACATCTTAACTACCTAAAACCAACACCCAACATCCAATGAGAAGAGGCATACCAGCGATAGCTTTAAATCAGGAAGCTGGGGAGTTTTGATGTTCACAAAAACAACTTTGTGATTTGACAGAACTGTTCACAGGAAGAGCTAAACACCCAACTGCAGATACATCACACAACAGCTGCAGGTTTCTCCCATCTGGCTGCTGATTCAGGGCCCCAGGGCCCAGATATGAACAAGATGTCTGTTATTCTCAATACTGCACAAGACCTGTCCACAGAATGACTGTATTAGGGAAGACTTGTTTTCAAATAAATTGGTATTTTTCTTAATTCTACCCACTCAATTGCACTTTTGTATGTTGTATATGTTTTAATGGTGTGTTGTGTAATGTGTAGTGTATGTCTTTCTTGCTGTACTTTGGGACAAGCCAAAGACAAATTCCCACCAAGATGGACAATAAAGTCAATCGATCAATAGCAAGAGGAAAAACATAATAAAATAACAGTGGGTGAAACTATGAGGCCATAGACTTATTGTTATGATCTCAGATGCACTGCTTAAAATAACACTCTACTTCTCTCATGCACAGAGTGAACAAGAGTAGTTGAGGGGGGGAAAGAGAAAATGGAACACAAGACTGCCTGTTCTTGAATGTGGAGTTGCACCACCGTCTGCAGACAGTCTGCAACATTACTGCTGCACGTGCAGCACTGCACAATGCAGACAAGATGCAAGAAATCCCACTGACTTCAGCAGAGGATGGGCCAGACAGCAACAATGAGCCTAACCTACTATTGTAACCTAGTATTATTGACAACCCCATTAGAAGAGAGGTTGAATGTATAAATGTTAATCTAACCCAATGGTTTCTCACTGTTAATTGAATTTGAGTTGTTTATTTGAATGTAAAACAGTT